AAAATAAACTATTTAAGTAATTAACAAACCAAGTGGAATTACAACTCATCCTCCTACGTATATATAAAAAACAAAAGCATGATAGATGATAAGGTTTGATTAAACACATTAATTTTTATCATGCGTTACTAATATGGAGTGAAGTAGGGTATGGTGATAGGAGAAAGTATATTTGTTTTTTCGGTTTCACTTTCTCTCATTTCTTCGTCTATGTGGATGTACAAGGCAAAGGCAGTCAGCAGTTTGTTTGGTTTGCCTTTGGCTACTTTGTTGTTTGATTACTATTGGCGACTCCACTCTATGCTTGGAATTATAGTAATGATTTTATAATCTCAAATTACCCAAAAGAATAAAAAAAATTACTTATCAACAAGCACTAATTTATAATGTTTCAAGTGTTATTCTTGATTTGAATGATTTGAAATTCAAATGTAAATTAGAATATATTATTTATTAAATTACAAAAAATAAAGCCTTTAAGTTGGAAAAACCTAGAGTGATTAAGTTTCTACTTTGTGCTTTGTGATTTGTAAAATCTCTTATTTTTTTTTGTTCTCTTTCATTGTAACAAGTAAAAGAGAGATTTGAGAAATTTTATTAAATTTAATAATCCATTTTTGAGGTATAAGAAGGGTTGAGAGATTTGTAACAAGGGTATTAAACGATTCAATAGCACCCGTAAGTTATTGAGTAATCTTGTTAGATTTAGATAAAACCATCCTTGTGGAATATGATTGGGTTGGTGAGAGATTATAATGAGGGGTTGAATTGTTGAAGGTGGATAGTGCCAACAAAGTTATTGCAAATAGTTGATTGTACACTTGAAAGTTAGGGGAGAGATTCTGAATCCAAAGCTAACTTTTAAGTAGGCGGCTTGAAAAGTGAATTAGGCACAAATTGTGATCGAATCACTATAAATCTTTATGTTTGAGCTTTTTCTTCCTTTTAACTTTTAATTTCTATACTTTAAATTAGTTGTTTGCAATTGTTTGTGCTTATTCATTGTTTTATTTTTAAAAATTACATAAAATTTTTGAAAACCCAATTCACCCCCCTCTTGAGTTGCTATCTGGCCAACATCAAGGCACTGATTCAAGCTGGCTTGTGAACACAGTCAAACATATAAATCAAATGGTACTCATATTGGACTAAGTTCAAAAAAGGAGGAGACATTCACAACCAAGAGATATTAGATCAATTATAATAGTCATATACTGTATTCATTAACACCAGAAATATTACAGATGCATCACATGCTTAATAGGAAACTAAACGTGCTTGTGCACATGGAGATAAAATGGAATGCAGCTACACTCGATTGCAAACAGTTGTAGTAATGTTCACCATCAAGGGTATTAGGTGACAAACAATAAGCTACAACAGCTGCTCCTTGAGTGTTACATATTTTGTTTCAGAGGTAGATATGTAGTGGCTTAGTGTTTGGTTTTAGGCCTCTTTACGATCATCACAGTGCAATGAGCATGATGAGCACAATGGTCACTAACACTGCCAAGAAACGCCCTGAAAGAGAAAGTTAAATTGCGTTAAAAGCTGAATAGATTAACGAATTTCATCGTTTTTCAAGGCTAAACCGAACCAACAATATCTACAATTCCAATTTTACTCTCTGTTTTTAGTGTAGATTCTTGTATGCTGTTAAGAAGTTGGAGAGAAAATGTACAAATAAGGATGGT